GCCTTGTGAGAGGAGACTGGAATAGTCAGGGATTCAAAAAGAGCCAACATGTGTGTAAGTCTATTTGGAGGGAGTGTGTTATTTTCAATCGTGAGGAAATCGTCTAGATAGTGAATAACAGATGGACATCTGCAGACATTAAGCAATAACCAACACAAAGTTTCTGCAAATGTGTCAAAAATTTGGGGCTGCTTTTGGAGCCAAAAGTGAGTCGTGTGAAAAAATAATACAACCCCTGCCACTTAATGCCGTGTAGATGCCATAGTGAAGGGTGAATGGGAAGTAATTTGAAAGCATTTACTACGTCAGTTTTACTGAGCCATGTATCTGTGCCAGCCATTAAAATGGCCCCAATGGCTTTGTCGATAGTGGCATACTGTAAGGAAAATTCTATGAATGAGGGAGTTAAGGCTGGGAATAGTGGAGGAATGTGGTGCTGATAAGTCAATTATCAGTCTGGGTTTGAGTGAGGTTTTCGGTTGGTTCTCCAAGATGTGAAAGGTGGGGAAATGAAAGGTCCAGACAAAAACCCTTGCTCTACTTCCATCCTAATAAGTGTACATACTAACTGTCATGCGGTATCTCTTCCGGGTTCGGCTCTCCGCTATGCGGAGCTGGCCCCGCCCCCCTCTGATGCGGCTCTGACGGTATTTAGAGAGACCGCGCCAGGGAGAAGGCGCTTGGTGATGCTGGGACCTACTTCCGGGTATGCACGCCGGCTCCACAAGCTCTGATAAGCCGTCCTAGCCTTCTGAGCTGGGGGAAGGAATATGCTTAATGCCATAGAGGATTACTGGAGAACGGATAGACTTCTCCTTTACAAGTGGACTATATCTCTGAACTCTTCGAGGACAACTCACATTAACCTTAAGTATAGCTTTCAACTATTATCTGCAATCTCTCTAATCAATGAACTAATTCCTGCTTGCTCAATTCTTCGCTGCTTCAAGTTACTAATTATATGGAGGACAACTCCCATCATGCTTATTAACTATGAACTGTTCTTGCTTTGCAAATACTCTCAGCCACTTGCTTAATGTTTCTATTGAAGATTATTGATTTATTTAATGAACTTAAAGAATCTTACTTAATTCTTCTCTGAGGAAATACTTATTAATGAACTTTGTATTATTTGAACCTGAACTTCTTCTTATTGGATTATTGCCTAAATGCAATTCATTTAAGTTTAACAATCATTAAAACTTCATTTGAATCTCAAGTTGCCAGCAATCCTCTCTTTTCTTAAAGCTACAGTATTGATACTTTAAAGATTCTCCGTTTCATTACTATTGTAATTAGGGAGTTCTACAAGCTGCAGTTGAGTTCCAACCCAAATAACCCATGTAGCATAACACTAACTCTGGATCATTTAAAGTGATTTGTAAATTGTTACATTCTAGTGTACCTGTTGTCCAATGATAATAAATTTAACCAAATGGTGTGATGGGTGTTGTTGCAACAGTGCAGCCAATAACGTGACATTGATGCAAGTTTGATAAGGTTTAGGGAAAACTTTATTCGGGCACATGGACTTTGAATGTGCCCTGAAACAATGGGAAAACACGTGCAATAACCTACAAGAGCTAAAACCACAAGTACCCGCATTAAAATTATTGCAAATCTGAGATTTGCCCAGGAACATGATGTCCCTACCCAGTTTATCCTTTAGGCTTCTGGTAGATCTTAGGAAATTAGGGACAGAGTGGCCCTGTTCAGTTTCTGCTGTGTTAGGGCAGAAGTTAGTACTATGTGCCGTAGATGTACACACTGCACATTGTGCCCATATGATTTGTTCTGAGGCCTGCAAAATTTCTGCAGAATAACTCAGTGTCCAGCTTACTCCAATTTATGCTGTAATTGAACTGAGTCAGAGCTGCAGCCACTTTTGCAGAGAAGGAACGGTGGTAATCATAAAAAGCAGTACCACCGTATTTGTGCCCCAGATCCACCAGCTTGTGCATATATATGTCTAATACTTCTCTTTTCTCAGGATATACCGAGCAATACACATCCCTATAAATGCCGAAACCCTTGGCCTGGAGTACCGGGCCTAGCAGGCGTGCTGGGAAGTGATTGCTCCTCAGGGATATCAGGAACTTGAGACATAACTGAAAATATATAAGGCAACTTAATCATTATCCTAGGATGAAGTGGTCAGGTACTGGCGAGGCTAGCTAGATACCAAGTGGTGAAACAATTATGCTATTTGAAAATGTGACAGGTGAGTCCTTGCTAATTGCCAAGCGGCGTGAGAGGCTCTACCTATGCGTTGGCCCGAAGGGAAATATGAGGCCACCGAAACGTTGTGGCGGGGTGTCTTGGACGGCAAGGACGTGAACCTGGTTTCGCACCTCTTTGTCTCTCAAGATATCGTTGTGAACGAGACTTATGCCTATGGGGTTTTTGTCAGTCGTGATCAAGGCCCAGGACCACGGGCTTAACAGGAAGCTTCTAGTTTGTACTCCCTGATTCCG